ACTAGAATTAGTAGTGATTTTTAGAGAGTTTCCGCATTTAATTATTTAAATATGCTGCGCTTATTATCATATGTATGTTAATACACCGGGTGCACATAAGGTATTACAAAATGCATTTTCTTGGATAAAGGAAGAGATTACTCGATCTATTTGCATATCGCTCATGATATATATAATAACTCAAACACCCATTTCGAGTGCATATTCCATTTCGCACAACAGGGTTATGAAAATTCGCGAAAAGCAACTGGTCGGATTGTATTTGCCAATTGCCATTTAGCTAATAAGCCAATGCATATTGAGGTTCCATAAGCGGTACTTCCTGATATTGTATTTGAAGTAGTTATTAGAATTCCTTATGATGTGAAAGTGAAACAAGTTATTGCTAATGGTAAAAAAGGTACTTTGAATGTGGGGGTTGTTCTTATTTTACCCGAGTGTTTTGGATTGGTCTTTCCTGATAGTATTTCGCCTGAAATAAAAGAAAAGATAGGTAATATGTCTTTTCAAAGCTATCGTCCTCCTATAAAAGAAAATATTCTTGTCGCAGGCCCTGTTCCTAGTCAGAAATATAGTGAAATCACTTTTCCTATTCTTTCCCCAAATCCCACTTCAAATAGAGATGTTCACTTTTTAAAATATCCTATATACGTAGGAGGTACAGGGGGAGAGGTCAGATTTATCCCTATAGGAGCAAAAGTAATAATAATGTTTATAATGCTACGACAACAGGTATAGTAAACAAAATCATACTGAAAGAAAAAGGAGGGTACGAGATAACTATAGTGGATGCATCAGTTGGACGTGAAGTAATTGATATTATACCTCTAAGACTAGAACTTCTTATTTCAGAGGACGAATCTATTAAACTTGATCTACCGTTAACAAGTAATCCTAATGTGGGTGGGTTTCGTCAGGGGGACACAAAATAGTACTTCAAGATCTGTTACGCGTACAAGGTGTGTTATTCTTCTTCGCGTATATTATTTTGGCACAAATCTTTTTGGTTCTTAAAAATAAACAATTTGACAAGGTTCAATTGTCTGAAATGAATTTCTACGTCCGCACATTTATTAACATATTAAGCTCATAAAAGAACTAAATTCTTGTTTTTGACCAATTATGTAATTCTATTATGTATTCTATATAATACAAAAATCATGAAAAGAGCTTTGCTTCTTTTTAGTCTTTTTCTACCCCTTATTCAGAGAATTCTTTGTACTGAAGAACTAGTCAGTCATAGTATGTATATTGTGAAGAAATTTTTTTGACTTTGTTTCTTTTTTTTAACCCCACAATAAATTAGAACGTTACTCTTATGTCACTGTTTTCAGATTTTTTCATTTTAGAATAGAAATATATAGATAGGTTTCTTTTTTTTTTTCCTTAGAAGAAAATTTGACTAGATACTAAACATAAAAAAATATACAGAGAATATAAAGAAGCACTTCAGAAAAAGAAACGAAGAAAGTGGGATTCTAAAAGGAATTATTTATCTTTTTCTAGAGTTCGATTCTTTCTTGCTTATGTCTAATGTGTGTAAATAGATATGCTGCATATCTTTTGCTAAATTGAAAAGCTTATTTCCTTCTTTTAAATACACTAAACGCGACAGTGGTGGCTGCGAGTCTTTGCTGTGTTTAGACACAATGCCTTATCTAGCATGTCTTCTTATTCTGAGACACAAAACATGCATCCATCATGTGCGCGTCTTAACGCATTAAAATTAGGTGCAAGATTTTCTTCATTATATGAATAATTAGTTTGACCAAAGAATTATTCTGATAACATGTTAATGTGTTTACATCAACATGGTCAAAATGCCCATAATAGGATATCTCGACTTGGTCATGTCACACAAAACTTTGTTGCATTAGCCCCGACTCTATATGTGCTAGCCATGACAATCCACACCCCAAGGTTGAGCAATTGGAGTTTATACACTATGTTGGTGAAGGAGCTCTTCACGAAAGCACCATTCCTTTTGATAAACTCATCCATTTGGACATTCACCTTATCTAGCCAACTCACCTCTGTCATAGACTTCTCTAGGTCGGCTTCAAGAGTGGATATCTTATTAGCTTCAACTTTCAAACCACCAACCATATTTTTTCACGCTTTCTTGGGCCTCTATGTTGGCCTTCTCCTCCACGACGGCTAGCTCCACCTTGAGCTTATTCTCACATTTTGTGCAATGGGAGTAGGTAAAAAGAAGAAGAAGGATATGGGAGAAAATAATCATAAAGATAGAGGTAGTGTAAATGAATTACTTTTTGGTTCGTTCCACTGAAAATATTTTCTCTAAAGTCAAACATTGACTGAAAACCCTATTTGAAACTTGCAGTTGCGCCACCAAAAATGAAAATTGCAGCAACAAAGTGGAGAGGAAAAAATACCAAAGTAAAAGGCCTAACAAGGTTGCAACCTTTATAAATAGAGAAGCACCTCCCAAGCTTTAAGGGCATGCTTGTTATTTTGCAATTATTTCAAATTGAAAGCTCGAAGACTAAAGAACGATGATTGCGGGCATCAAATAGGTATAACCCGAAAAATGAAGCGTCACAATTAGCCCAACGTTGAGTCGCATTACAACTCGACATCTCAACCTTTCAGCCCAGTATAAGTGCTCTTGTTAGTATGCCTAGATTGCATCTCGTTACTCCCTGCTACGGCGAAACACCAAGTTTGGGGCAACTTTTCTAAATTGAAATTTGGGTATAGACCCAAAGTTGTTCGCATTAAAGGCCAAGATGCAAATCCACTCAACATAATAATTTTGGGAACAAATTATCCTCTCCATGATGATCTCAAATATAGATGTGCATGGGTCGAACTGAACCGGATTTTTAAAAAATCGATCCGAATTAGTTTAAATGGTTCGGTTCGAAAGTGGTTCGGTTCGGTTCAGTTCAAAACTAGTTCGGTTCGGAAGCGGCTCGGTTCGGTTGAAAATGGTTTGGTTCGGTTCAGAACCGGTTCGAAACTGGTTTGGAACCGGTTCGGGTCGACCCTCTTTAAAAAGAAAAAAAATTAAAAATTTAAAAAATAAAGTTATAAAAATCAATTTGGCTCGGTTTGAAAACGGTTCGGTTCGGAAACGGTTCGGTTCAGTTCAAAATGGTTCGGTTCTTAAACTGGTTCTAAAAATCGGTTCGGTTCATGAACTGGTTCTAAAAATCGGTTCGGTTCATGAACTGGTTTTTTAAAAATCAATTCGGTTCATGAACTGGTTTTTAAAAATCGATTATTTTAACATTCGGTTCAGTTCGATTCATGGTTCAGTTCATGGTTATTTTGCACATCCTTAATCTCAAATTATCTTGGGTATATATCCTAGACACAATGTGCAATAATTTTCTTCCAAATTAGTTACGTCAATATATAAAGGGCTACTCACACCTTTTGTGTATACAAACTTCTTCATACTTTTTTTTCTATAAATAGAAATTGAACACATACATAATACAATCTACCTAGCCCCTCACCGCTAGAGCAATTCTAATAGTTTAACTTCTTCATACTTTGATCTCTCTCTCATCATATCGAAGTATAGGAGTTTATACTTTAGACCACTTTTTTACTTCACAGAGCATTCACCACTCTCTAAGAAGAGACACTATGACTACAATGAAACCCAAGTAACATACTCAAATCTCAACTCGCTTTAATTTTTAAATTTTAAGGAATGCCTATATATATTTTATTTTAAAGTTAGATGTATTTCGCTTATTTAACTATATTTTTAAATAAATCTCTGTTAATTATAATTTTTATAAATAAGTCTATAATGTATATAAGAGTAATATAAAATGACACGCATATAAGAATAAACATCACTAACAGAGTCTAAATAGTCATTAATCACTCAAAAGTAAAAACGTACTTCAATTTTTCTTCTTCGAAATATAAAAACTCTGTTAAAACATTTAGCCTATAGTTAATTATTTAAAAATTAAACAAAATTATAGCGAGCTAGAAAGTAATATAACCCATGAATATCACCTACAAAGCTAGGACACGCTTTGTTTTTGAAATTGTGCGTGGGTGAGGAGGGATCCGAATCCCCGACACCGTGGTTCGTAGCCACGTGCTCTAATTCTCTGAGCTACAGGCCCCACCCCGTCTTCACTGGATCTGTTCCCCGGAGTACCCTAAAAAAGGATAACATTTCCTCTCCCGACACGGACATGCTCCGACACGTTCGGACACGTGTCTGACACGCAGTCAATATTTTGGGACACGTGGTCAACTCTTCGACACGTTCCAACACGTTTTTCCGACACGCAGTCAACTTTTTCCGACATGTGGTCAATGCTGGGACACGCTCGGACACGTTTTTTTTTACTCTTAATTTTATTTTATTAACTACAAATGAAAAAATTATTTACAAATTAATTTTTTTCTGTTATGAAATTTGACATGAAAAATTAACAAGATACGAAAAATTATTTTTGTTTATATTTATGTTATGAAATTTGAATATTTGATTGGTAATATAACTTATTATGGACTGTTATATCTATTAAATATAAATTATATTATATATATTAAAAATATTATTTAATATCAAAATGTGTCCCAACTTGTTGAAATATGCCATTTTTTAGAATTAACGTGTCGGCGTGTCGTGTCGTGTCCCGTGTTAGTGTCCGTGCATCATAAAATATCACTATATATTTTGGGTTTAATAAGAGTTATGTTGTAGTAAAAGTGATTGTGTTATGTTATAGAGATTCGTTTTGCGTGCTAGAGTTTTTTTTTTTTTTTTTTGGTTTCAAAAATTGTGGGTCCCACAAAATGTTGTGTGTGTAGGAAAGTTGTTGTGGTCATGTTAAATTATAGATACAAAACCCATATATTTTAGGTGTACTTTAATTTAATAATAAAATAACAATTAAAGAAATTATGTTATCAAATGTAGTGAACAAAAGTCATACCATATAAGAAACTATATAAACACAAATCTTGATATATTACTCGCCTTGAACCTTACCGTTATGTGTGTGCATCTTCTTCTGTTCAAGTCCAATGCCAACCGTTTGTAGAATTGCCTCAAAGGGAATAAAAAAACAAAAGCGTATTTGAAAAGGAAAATAAAGAGAGGTAGTGAGGTACGAAGAAGATAGGTTGTTGTGATACACGTTTGTATTGTATGGTATATGGTTATGGGAAGCAGTAACATCAACGTGGTGCTTCATCACGGGTCAATGTTGCCCCAAGAAACTGTAGCTTCTCAACTGAGACCTGCGAGAGTATTTGCAAGCTTTCATTCGTTTTCTGCAACTTGGGCTATCACCAATAGAGCCAGGAAATGCAGCTGCAAGTGGAAACGGCTTGTCAGAAGCTGCTCCATAAGCGAGTTTGTTGTTGCCAGTGATGAAAACTATGGTAATAAGCAAGTTGTTAGTCTCACTCCCCGCTTGTACGATTATGTCCTCAAAAATGTTAGAGAACCAGAGGTGAGGAACACACCCTTTTGCCTCATTGATTGTCGAACATGAAAATGAGATTTTTTTTTTTTTTTTTTAAATTTTTGTATCTGATATCAATTGGGTTTGTTAATTTTCCCTTTATACTCATTGTTAAGTGGTTGCATTGCAGATTCTAAGACCCTTTTGCCCCATTGATGGTTGAACATGAAAAAGAGATTCTTTTTTTTTATTTTAATTTTAACATGATATCAACTGGTTGTTAAGTTGCCCTTTATACTTATCGTTAAGTGGTTGCATTGCAGATTTTAAGACCCTCTTGCCACATTGATGGTTGAACATGAAAAAGAGATTCTGTTTTTTTTTAATATGATATCAACTGGGTTTGTTAAGTTGCCCTTTATACTTATTGTTAAGTGGTTGCATTGCAGATTCTAAGTCCCTTTTGCCTCATTGGTTGTTGAACATGAAAAACAGATTTTTATTTTTATTTTTTTTTAATATGATATCAACTGGGTTTGTTAAGTTGCCCTTTATACTTATTGTTAAGTGGTTCCATTGCAGATTCTAAAACCCTTTTGCCCCATTGATTGTTGAACATGAAAAACATTTTTTTTTTTTTTTTTCTTTTTTAAATATGCAACTGGGTTTGTTAAGTTTCCCTTTATACTTATGGTTAAGTGGTTGCATTTCAGATTCTAAGGCAACTGCGAAAGGAGACGGCCTCTTTGCGAGGAAGTCAGATGCAGGTGTCTCCAATCAGTCCATTCTTGAGCAAATTCACTTACACAGTGAACTAATAGAATTGTTAATTTTGAGTTTGTGTTTATACATTATGTCTCCACTGTGCAAGCATGAGTTTCTACTACACTTTTGGTTTTATGTCAGTGAGGTAGCATAATCATACTTATTATTCATATTTTTGGTTTCTGTTGATTCTATACATAATTAATATTTTCTTCTAACTGGTTGACTTTGAAAACTACTGTAACCAGGAAACAGTTATTCTGAACCGGTGAACTTGGTCCTGAACATATTGGTCCACTTGTTATTATGAGTATGCATAGAATGTTCCTTGAAAGATCAGCAATCTCATAAAAATGTTTAGTTAGTTACTTGCCTAGTCCAAGAGTTAATTTATATAAGCTTCAGGTTCTGGTATATTCGTTGATATTAATCATCTTTTGATAGTTTTGGTTAAAGAACAAGGGGCTTCTTGTATATGGGCAGATACTGGTCTTTGATTGTTAATTAACTTCTTAGTTCTAGTGTGTTGATGTATTGCCCGGGGTCAAGTTTGAAATTGTGAAATTTGACATGAAATAAAGAATTGTGCTATAAAGAATGAATAGCAGTCTCACTTTCCTTCTATCTTGTCTGACATGTTTCACATTGTAATCCCACTAGCCTACCATGAAGTAAAATGTTGACAATGCATTGTCTTCTTTATAGGTGTCTCCTGATCAGGCACAACTGCTTGCAATGCTTGTGCAGATTCTTGGAGCAGAACGGTGTATTGAAGTTGGTGTTTATACCGTATGTATTTCATTTTTAAACAGTATACACTAGGTTTCTTTATGTTACATAATAGATGATATCATTTAATATCTCATACTACACATGGTTGAGAATTGGTTGTTTAATGATAAAATAATTTAAATGCTGGACATGTTTTATATTAACCTTACGATATTAGCGGTTATGTTCAATTATTCATGGGTATGAAATATATGTTGTATCTGATGGCATATCAGCAGATTGTGGCTTTCTTTTATTTTATAAATTGTCTTACTCGGAAAATAAAAAACACAATTCAGTTTCTGAAAAACAGATATTTGATCTAAACATTCATGTAACCCATGTGGCACTGCATGTGTATTAGTCTTCCTTGGTATATTATCTTCTATATGCTTCTCAAAGTCTCCATAATTTTAAATTTTGGATGAAACTCAAATTATTTTTTATGTTTGTAATATACGTTTTGGATTTACCGTGTTTTAGCATTAAAATTTGGATCTGAATATTAATGATAATATAGGAAGATTTCATGGGAGAAAGTTGTTATTTTTAAAATAAGTTTCTGAGGATTCATGATGAACATAAAATTAAATAATCTGATGTACCAGTACCATCTCAGTTAAGCGGAGCTCATATGTAAATTGCATATAAATCATAATTACTGGCAGTATAAACTGTCGTCTACATTAATGCAAATGGCTAAAAAGTTTGAATGAACTTTACAAGTGTCCATTTCGTACTGTCGAGAGAGTAGTTTTTTTTTTTTTCCTCAGTCTTTGGTGGGTAGGTTTAAGTTTCCTCTTTCTGATCACATTATGTTCCTTGTTAAATTGCTTTGATAATCAGAACTCTGCCTTTTCCTTTTCTCCTAAAATGACAAGTTTTGAAAAATATCAAGGGTGGGAGAATTTGAAGTAATGAATCTATTTTGAGTTTTTGATGACCTATTATTTTATTTTTGTGAACATTGCTCTGCAATTTATAGGTTTCTTTCTATTGCAATGCCAGATTTTCTTAAGAGGGTTCTCTTCCATTAACTAATGAGGTATTATATTGTTAATTTGACCCAGGGTTACTCATCATTAGCCATAGCATTAGTCCTGCCAGAATCAGGTCGTTTAGTTGCCTGTGAAAGAGATGCCAAATCTCTTGATGTTGCCAAGAAGTATTATCAGCTAGCTGGTGTTTCACATAAGGTATATGCTACTCTTATACTTTTTGATTTGAAAAGGTGCCAAATTTCTGTTTTTTCTCTATGGAATATGTGGACCTTTTTATATTATATTATGTGGTGCTTGGATTTTATGATGTTTTAATGTAACTGACTCTAGGTGGATGTAAAACTTGGACTTGCAGCGGATTCCCTAGAATCTTTAATTCTGAATGGTGAAGCAGGAAGGTATATGGATTCTCAACATCACAATGATATGGTTTGATATTTCCCATTCTGCTGTAGTGATTAGGAGCTCTTCTGCATTTAAGTGGTATCTTTTGAGAGTTAATGTTAGCTAAGGATCCAGTCTATATGATGTGAACATTGTCAGAGAAAGAAGTAGTAAAATAGAATCTAAGAAATATTTCCTTTTCGTGCAGCTATGATTTTGCATTTATTGATGCCGAGAAAAAGATGACTGAGAAGTATTTTGAACTGCTATTACAACTGGTAAGAACATAATAAAATGGTTTCAGAGCCTCTTATGCGCACTTAATTCTAAGATTTTTCTTAAACTTCCTTATTGGTTTTCCTATGAATTGTTATGCTGATGCACTGAATAATTTGTTGTTGCAGGTGAGGGTTGGAGGTCTTATTGTAATTGATAATGTCCTTTGGCATGGAAAAGTTGCTGACCCATTGGTGAATAAATTCTTCCACGTTTTCTTTTATTTCCAGTTGAACAAACTTGACTTTTAATGTCCTATGTGCAGGTAAATGACTCTAAAACTATCAGCATTAGAAATTTTAATCAACAGTTAATGGAAGACAAGCGTGTAAGCATCAGTATGGTAGGTTTCTACCAATTTTTCTGATTTCTAATACAGTTTTAGAGATATTCTTTGAAGATGATTTGTAATCTTTTAACACTTTTTGGAGAGTCTTAGGTACCTATTGGAGATGGGATGACAATCTGCCGAAAAAGATGACCCATTTTTTAAGAATTTATTGGTAAGTTCTTATAAATGCAATTGAACTTACTCCATTTAGGTTAATGCTTCTGAGGTGAAAGAAAAATTATATAATTTGCAAAAAAATCATTAAATGTTCTTAGAACTTGAGATGTAGCAAGGTCTATTCTCTTAGGCTCACTTTGGGAAGGACCTGAGAATTGCATACCGAAAAATAGCCTTTTGGCACCATAGGGGATGTGGAAAACTAGATTTGTGTGATCTTCTCTTCTGCAATTTATGTACCCAATAAAAGTAGCAGCTTTAGTATCCTACTATATTAGCCTGGAATTCAGTGACCTACTACTTTTGGAAGCAGTTATGTTGTAGATTAAAGAGACACAAACTCATGGCAGAACCAAGAATACTTGTTGAAAGAAGCTCATGGAGAATATAGTTGAGTAGAATGCTTTCATTGGATAACTTAGCAGGTGTACAAGAAATCATTGTGCAGCAAACAGATTGTGCAAGAGTTTGTGATTATCTGCTTTATAGTGGTTAAATGTAATTTTTATCCTATGATTAATTTGAGTTGCATTATAATACGTTTCTTTGAAGAAGGAAATGCAACTATGAAGGGTTGTACAAGAGGTAGTGATAGAGGATCTTCCCTTTTCTTAAGCAAGCTTCAATTTCATACCTGCCAGATGCATAGAAAGTGAACATTGAAACACCAAGGCCAAAATTTAAGGATGAGCATTAGCATTGTATGAAAAATTATACAAAAAAATCATTCTTAAAATTTTATTTTCACCATCAATAATTTTAAGAGATACCAAACTACTCAATGTCAAATGAAATCTACATCTAGTTTCCTCATACTTGTCAGACCCTTCTGATGCTTTATAATTAGTTTCTCGTGGATGAACTTTTCCATATGTGGATGTTTTTGTGGCCATTAGAAATTTGTATCCGCTTAAGATAGTTTGGAGAATTTTGCATGAGCTAAATGGCTGGGAATGATATGAATGATGCTATTTGCATAATCATTTGAACTCTGTTAAACTTGAGGTGTTACGTTTTTTTTTTTAATAAGCAGTAATAATACCAATATCAACATTAATGAACCCAAATAAAAAGCAAGAAAATATTAAGGAAAAAGAAAAAGAAATAAAAGAGGAAAATAAAAATAAATAAATAAATACATAAATAAGTATAGAGAAAAAAATTCAAAAGGGCCGTGTAGAGCATTGGAGTAGGAGATTATGAGTCTGTCTCTCTACAATATTGGTAATTTTATTCTATTATGTCCTAAAACAAGTTGTTTATTCCACTGTGTCTTAAAATAAATTATATGTCAATTTATTTCTCCCATTATTAAATATTGTTTTACTATTTCTCCTATTTATAAATGTATTAATTTCTCCCATTATTTTTGTTCTTTTACCGAATGGTGGTAGCTCAGTTGGCACATGAGAGCTAAGCAGGTAGGGGTAAGAGTATGTGTTCGAATCTCCTCAATATCACTTTTGGGAGAGGTTTAAAGCCTTAATTCTGAATTCGCCCCGAATCAGATTAGTTGCGAAGCAATGAACCGATTGGAATATTTCAAAAAAGAAAGAAAGCATGGAGTATGTACAAGAGATTACAATATTAATAGGGATGAATTCAAATCCTAATGAGATAAGAATACTAATAACTACAAATAATTACCATATTAATTATACACCTGCGTTAAATGAGGGAAGCAATAACAAAGGAAACAAAACCTAAAACTGAATCTGTATATCAATATTTTGCCATTTTTTTACAAAGGAAAAATAAATTAACAACACGTGTCATAAACTCTCACACCCAAAATACAAAAAATTAAAAAGGAAATCTTTAATTTGGCCTAAAGAAAATCCAAACATTAATCAAGTTAAAACTTTTTCCATATTATTTATTATAATCAAAAGATCCTCCCTATTAATTTTTGTGATAAGTTATTCAAACTGATAGAGAAGATAGACATGAAAAAAAAAAAAAATAACATATTCCTTATTTATTTTATGGAATTATTATTTTTCGTGTTATAGAAAATAAAATTATTTATATATATACACAAGTATACGAGACATATTTTCTTTTTATGTCTTTTCAATTCGTATGATTTCACATGTGCCAAACTTTTATAAGATAAAATTATCTCTCAGGGGGAGTTTGGTACAGGAGAAATTTTTATTTGTCCGGGAATCTCGATTTTTAAAAATATGATTTTTGCATTCAGTTTACGATAATATCTGAAAATGTAAAATTAAAAAAATTCAGTTTTCCGAAAATCCCTCAAAATTCCGCGTACCAAACGCCCCCTTTAAGTTAATCCCTTTATTTATAGAGAAAAACTATTCTTATGTCACTTGATATAAGTTTTCTTTCTTACACACCTTTCGATAACTGTGTCACCTTTTTTTTTTTTTTTTTTTTTTTTTTCAAGTGATGAAGCCTACTAATTTGTCTCTATGACATGGGATAACTATCTCCTTTAACATGACATTAATAAAAATCGTTATTTATATATTGTTTATGAATTTTGTTGTTTACTTTACGTGACAATACAAATTCGAACTTTGAGCCAAATCTACGTATCCTCTCCTCAGTCCTCATCGCAGGATCCGCAATCCGTATACTTCTTCCAATCTATCCTCATCTTCCCGGGCGTTGGATAGTCCGAACCCGACCCGTTTTTGAGAATCGGGTTTCAGATGCAGATTTGAAAAGCGCAAAAAGTCAGTGAAGAAAGAAGCTTTTGCAACAATGGCGGATCCGAAGAAGGAGGGTTTTCGGACCTACGCTTATCTTCTTCTCTACATTGCACTCTCTAGTGGCCAAATCTTCTTCAACAAGGTTACGGCCAATCACTACTTCGAACTCTTTAATGCTCTGTTTGTTTCCCGGGAAAATGTGGGAAAATAGTTCTATGCTGATTTCGAAACTAGGATTCGATGTTCTGTTTGGTTGTTTGTACTTTGTTTTTTATTATTCGTATTTATATTTTTTAATTTTGTTTTTATTCTATTCGTTTAATTAATCTGCGTAGTTGGAGTTTAAGTTGAGTTTGAGGCGTGTGTGGATCAGGGATTTGTGTGTTGCGAGTGGTTGTTGAGCCATTTTTTTCAATTGTAACGGAAATGTTTTATCTTTGTCTGGTACTGAAATTGAAATTGGGTTGAGTGTAAGAGAATTGAAGAAATTAAGAATTTTTTTTTGTTATATATATTTTCCTGAATTTTGCATGGTGTGTCTCTTTGGTGGAATGGTGGTGGCAAACTGGTAATATCAGAGTACCTTGCGTCAGCTTCTTGTTTGGATTTTGATGTTGGTCTTTTAATGTTTTGCTGTCTTAAAATGTTTTATCCTAGATTATGCTTCATTCTTGGGTGCTTGATATGGGGAATGAATCAAGGAGAAGCTGCGTAAAAACTGTGTTGTTATGTAGCTGAGATTCATATTTTTTCCTTTTTTCAATTTGTTACTTGCAGTGGGTTTTGTCCTCTAAGGAGATTAACTTCCCTTATCCTTTGGGGTTGACTCTACTTCATATGGTCTTCTCCTCTGTTGTGTGTTTTGTATTAACCAAAATTCTAAAGGTACGTGTTTGTGTTTGGCGTAATTTGTTATTTAATCAGTTACTGTTATGCAATGCGGATTATTGATCTGTTTCTTGCAGGTTATGAAGGTTGAGGAGGGAATGACTCCTGAAATGTGAGTAAAATAAAGAAGCTTTCTGTAGATTTTAGCTGATTTATAAGGTTTTATGTATGGATTTTTTTTTTGGTTTTGTCATACTTTCTCTGGTTGTTGGTGACTGAGATTTTAGAAGTGGGATCATAAGACATTTGCTGATTGAGAAAAAATATTAGCTAAAAATTTCAGTATAGGCTGTATGCCTTTTAGCTTGGATATATTATCCACTTAAGAAATGGAATCTAGGAAGAAACCAAATCATTGAAGATATATCCTTTTAAGAGGTATAATCTGATGATCTGTAGAAAATAAGTAATGAATATCTAGCGTAGAGCAATGTAAGGATCAAAACTTGGTTTTGATTGTCCTTGTTCTCTTTCCTTCATAATTCTGTTTTGCTGCTGAATCCTGCTTGGTCAGTGTCAAACCAACATTTCATAGTTTGTTGGCTTCATTGACAGTGAACGATCATGAAACAGTTAAATAATACACAACAGTAGCTTCCTCCTAGCTCTTTGAGCCCTTCAATCTCATTTCTCAAAGTTTCTTGATGAAACCCACTCTCTGTGTAACATGTGTCACCAAGGTACTTGGGATAAATAATGGTAATTTTGGATTACCCTCTTAAAGATTATTTTTCCAAGGTGTCACATTAGTATGACACTTTGATTTCCAGTTAACTAATTTAAAATGGATAGCGACACCTTTAGTTTGTAGGGTTGCTCTTTCCAGACAAGGATTCAAGCCATTTATTTGGTGGCGGTTCTCCAAGTGAACTTCAATGTCTAGATGTTCCATTATCATTTTTTGATTTGAAAACTAACAATAGTGCTCATCAAGTGTCTTCCTTTACATGCTTTAGTTTTGTAAGAATGGGCTTGTTGAATGTTTTATTAGCTTCAAGGCTATGTGCCTTAATAGTTGATTTCATTAAATACTTACGATGTCTCCAAATTCCCATTGTAATTATATCTTAATTATTTCAGATATGCTACTTCAGTAGTGCCAATTGGGGCCATGTTTGCAATGACTCTTTGGCTGGGAAATACTGCCTACCTGTATATTTCTGTTGCATTTGCACAAATGCTGAAGGCAATCAGTAAGTTTTAGTGTTCAGTTAGGTATCCTCATCCATTTATGTTATCTACCGAATGAAAGTATAATTGCTAAATGTGTATGTTAAGACATTTAAAGCAATCAGATCTGTTGATTGATCAACTTGGTAGTTGTACATTATATGGTAATTGTGTATTTGTACAAATTACTTTTCCTCCAATATGGCAAATAATTGCATAATATCTCTGGTTCTTCAAATCTCAATTACAGTGCCTGTAGCCGTTTTTGTGCTTGGAGTAGCTGCAGGACTTGAGGTAATGAGCTGCAGAATGCTTTTAATCATGTCGCTGATTAGTTTTGGTGTTCTAGTTGCTTCTTATGGAGAGATAAATATAAACTGGATTGGAGTAGTTTACCAAATGGGAGGTGTCGTTGGTGAAGCTCTAAGACTTATCTTCATGGAGATTTTTGTTAAGAGGAAAGGTCTTAAGTTGAGCCCTGTGTCGGTGATGTATTATGTTAGTCCCTGCAGGCAAGTGTTTCTTTTCATAAATTTACCTACTGTTATGCAAGTTTTTAAATAATTTGTGTACTGTAAATTAATGTCTGTGAAAACAATTTTGGATTCTTCTGCAGTGCACTTTGTTTATTCCTTCCATGGATATTTCTAGAGAAACCAAGGATGGAAGAACATGGACTATGGAACTTCCCACCTGTTTTGCTTATCCTCAACTGTCTTTGTACTTTTGCTCTGAACTTATCAGTTTTCCTTGTGATTTCACATACAAGTGCTTTAACCATTCGTGTTGCTGGAGTTGTCAAGGATTGGGTGGTTGTCTTACTGTCAGCTGTTCTGTTTGCTGATACAAAGTTAACCATCATCAATTTGTTTGGTTATGGAATTGGTAAGTATTTGAATTGAACATGTTCTAAATTTTCCTTTCTCATTAGATATAAAGCTGAGAAATTTTCATTTCCTGCGAATGCCAGTGTACTTCTACATATATTCCACAGTCCAGGACAATTAATAGCCCAGTATTGGGTGCTACCCAGAAGCCTGTATGCATATATAAGTTTTATAAACCCAGCAGATAAATGTAGGCCTTCACTTTGGTAATTGTTATGAGCAAATCTAAGATCAATTAATAGTCAGTTTTCTAATATAGTTGGACGCTAACAAGTAGTATGTTATCCAAGTACAAAAATTTCTCCCTTTTTTATCCCCTTTTCTTGTGGTTAGTTTAGTTGGATTTATATTCACTGATCTATTAATTTGGAGTGTGGACACAAGAAGTTTGTTGAGCTGATTAAAAGTAGGTGATATGATTGATTTCTAACGGAATATTATTTAGAGAAGCAAGAAGGCTGTTCCCAAATTAAAAGTTAAATTGTACTGTATAAGAAATTAAAAATTATAAAAAGCTTGGATATGAAGCAACTATGAATTTTGTAATACGCGACTTAAGAAAAAAGAACAGCTTTTAACCATTATTGTAAATATTCGTTCAGCCATTGCAGGGGTAGCAGCATATAATAATTACAAGTTGAAAAAAGAAGCTTCTCGAGACACCACAGATGCTTCTGAGCATGACGAATCTTCCGAAAGGCAACAGTCTCAGCCTTTAACAAGTAGATAGTAGCAGTCTTTGAGTTACTCAAGGTATGCATATGAATATGTCATTTTTCTTCCCACAATTTTGCTTCCTCTTGTAGAGTGCTAGAATTGTTATGTTTGGGCGGTTAAAGTGGTCAGAGGAAGGGAATTAGAATAAATAAGAGAAGAGTGTAGAAGGGGGGCCATTCTGATTTGTTAGCATTTGGGAACTGAGCGTTAGCTCTGTTGTCCAGAAAGGTAAATCCTTTGTGAAGGGGAAACCCTTGGAAGGAAAATTCTCTCCATAGCTCTCTGTTTTGTAATTCAATAAACACTACAAAAGTATTCTTTTCCTTTTTCTTTCTCTGTTTTTCTTGTGTCTACCCAGAATCTATTTCTGGGTTCCTAACACTATATTTTTTATTTGTTCCAGTCGTCTTTGCTCCATTCAGAAGTTGATGAGAACATATAGTAGATAACAACACAGTTCTCACAATGTAGCGAGAGGACATCAAATGTTTATGTAGTAGATAGAAGTATAAGCAAGGATCATGGAGTTTCTTCAATCTTATAAACAGTTTCAACTGATTATAGATCGGGGAAAGTAATGTGCTGATCAAATGTAGTATGTGCAGATGAAATATACAAACTTTATCCACATTCAAATAGAGGTGCTTGGCCATGGCATTTAATTTTTGAGGAATATGAAGTCATTCACAATGATAATTTGTTTGAAGCAATTACCAGTTTCATTCTTAGTGGATTACTATTTTTAGTTGAATGATCAGGATTCAAAGCCCAGGCATCCAGCATTTAGTATAATTGGACCATGGGTAGGTAGCCAGGGGTTTATACTTTATACTGTATTTTGTTACACAGATGAAACCTTGTAGAATTATTTTGTTTATTTAAAATGTATTTTAATAGTATTCGGTATTCTGAGACATATTGGTTCAGTGTAGGGAATCTTTGCACAAGTGTAATCTTTTCGATCTGGCTGCTTTGATTGTATTTTTATCTCGTTGGTTCTTACTAGTCCGTTATATAGTTGTAGGGGAAGACAGTGATTGGGTGTTTGCTCAAAAGAACCGAATGTTTCATCTTATATGTCGTGTATTTGAAGCATAGCTGTATTTTGGTATCACTGTTTGACCTTTTTTGGCCTATATATTTTACCGATTATAACTCCTGATAACATGCTAGCATTATATTCAAGTATATCATGGATTAGGCAATTTTACAGTTTTTCAAGTATATTAACAAGGTTATTAATTTTCCATGTACATATTTAGACTTAAGGCAGATTTATTGCACTCCATGATGAATCTCTCTCTCTCTCTCTTGGTGTTGGGGAATTTGTGAACAAGACTGCAAAGGAAAAAAAAGCTAAAACATGTTAAGGATCATCAAACAACAAACAACAAGCAATGAATAAGATATGGGCCCTCTAATATATGCCAGTTAATCCAGAGAGCTATTTTGGGGCCTGTCCCCCCCCCCCCCCCCCCCTCTTGAAGCACAAATATGTATGAGAAAACCACAAGTTCCCTACAAACAAAGCCACAGCCAGATGCACATAAATTGAAGAAAGGATAAGGAATAGCATGGAAGAGGGGAAAACAACCAACTAGTCCTTCCAAAGTCCTCGTCACAGGCTTTTGAAGGCTTTAAGGCCACATGAAGGCAGTTTAAGTATACAATACAGGTTGTATGAGTTAGGGCTGTTACTTTTTTAGCGATTGGTACTTGGCAGGGGTGGTGGGGTTGCTTCTTTCACTCACACACCCTCATGTTCATTTTCGTCCACAGTTTTGTCCTTTGATAAATATTATTTAGGGAGGAGATATTGTAATTATCCATCAAAGTTCACTCTTTAAAAATGAATTTATTTAATAAGAATTTAATAATAGAAATTAAATTCAATTTTTTTTAACATTATGCTGTCTACTTAAAAGAGCTCCATTATTAGCATACCAAAAAAAAAAACAAAAAAACAGAGCTCCATTAGCTCCAAGTGAAAATTGATTTCCTCATATCTTATTTTAACAATACCATCTCATTCATTCGTTAGGACCTGTTTAGAGCACCTGATAAAGAAGATATGATAGGATAACTTATCATATTCTATTTTTATCTCTTGTTTGGTGGGTCAATAAGATATGATTAGCTTATCTTATTGTCTCATTTTATCCTATCTAATACATGATTTCTTATCCTATGAGAATAGATGGATTAGGATTCAACATGATAAGATACCAATATTAGATACTCAATATATCCCTACACTTAGGGGCGTAAATGAGCTGGGCTTTGGCCTTCATGGCCCAAGCCTACGTAAAAAAAAATTCAGCATATCTGGCCTACTGGCCTATTAAAGGCTTTATTTGTAGGCCAAGTCTAGCCCATTTTTAAAAATAAGAAAGCCTGACATGGCCTACAAGCCTTGTAGGCCTACAACTGTAGATACTAAGCAAAAATAATAATTGTATAGAGCAAAAAAAGTTTCATTCATGCATGCACTAGTACTTCTCATAAGAAAAAAAATGACAAACAAGAAAGAGTCAACATAATACCCCAGTTCTAGAATGTATATAATAGAGGAATAGAGTCAAAGAAATGAGGAAAATAAGAAAAATACAATTATTGGATGCTGAAATAAAGTCTACAAGAGAATGTCATTCATCTAAAAATCTTTAAACCACCGTCAAGACAAGGGAAAGAAGTGTATTATTGAAAGATCTTCGTTAGTAACATTATAATCCAACAAGGTACCCATTGCTCCATGGTATTAAGCTGCAACAACATGTAAAATTTGGAGACATTAGACAAGTTTTCCTTTGATAAAATAAAACCAACAAAAAGTAAAAGACGAAGCGAGAGTGAGAAGCGGCGGTGCAGATAAAAATTAGAGTTGGTATTAGTACTTTGCCACATAAAATAAATATTATTTTATTATTTTATTTTAATAAATTAAATAGGCCAGCCTACAAGGCTGTAGGCCGGGCTTGACAAAATTGGCCTATGGCCTATTTGTTATAAAATCTATTTTATAAGCCTAAGCCTACTCTACTTTTCTGAAAGGTCGGGCTAGGCTGGGCTTAATGTAAGCCAGGTTGTAGGCTGGGCTGGGCTGGGCTAGCCTGACCCATTTACACCCCTACCTACACTACTCAATATATCCCCACATTATCCAATATATTTGTATTTATTGTATTCTATTTTGTTTTTTCTTTTTCCTTTCTCCTTTTAAATAATCTTATCAGATTGCTGCTAATCAGATGCTCATCAAATACATGACATGATATAAGCTTATTAGTCTTATATCATATCCTACCCTTATCCTATCCTATCCACCAAACGTTTAAATTAGGGCCTAAAAGAATATTGATTAGCATTAATAACAATTCATAAATTTTAATTAAAATGGAAAACTTGATTTATCATTAAAAATCATTGATGACTCAGATTTTTTTTATAAAAATGAAACATGAAAGAATCTATCATTATAAATGATAATATTCTCTATTTTCATAAATCATGAAACGCAAAAAAATGAAAAGAATGAAAAATTAGAAAAAACCTTCCCCAAAAATTATCTACGTAGAACTAGCTTTGAAAAACAAAAAAAATTAAAAATTTTACATTCTTTCTTGTTCACCATTTTGCCACTTACTCGTATTCCTCTTTTTTTTTTTTTTTTTTTTTTATCTCAGGGGGAGATTAGAAGGTGCTAGAAGGGGGGAAAAAAACACTTAGAGAGGAACAGAGAGGGAAAAAACTGAAAAAAAAAGAGCCTCAGGGAGAGCGAGCGCGCGCGATGCGATTGCGGTGGCGGCGGTGGTCAGGGTTGTTGAGCTCCCCTTCGACGGCGGCGCCGTCCAATGCAACGAAGGAAGCGGTTTGCGGTGGTCGTTGATGGCCCTGCAGATGACTTGGCAGCCGAGTCTCCTGAGTCAGAAGCGCAAAACCGGTCCTCCGTTAGGGCTCCGAAACCTGGGGAACTCGTGCTACCTCAATAGCGTTCTCCAGTGCCTCACCTACACTCCCCCTCTCGCCAATTTCTGCCTCCGTTTTCAACACTCCTCTCTCTGTAAAACCCTTACTCTCTTATTTCCCTCTATTTTCCTTCGTTTTCCTTAATTTTCTTCTTTTCGTGCCCTAACCTATTCCTTTTTCCTCTTTCAGGTGATTCTTCTGCTTCATCTTGCCCCTTCTGCATACTGGAGAAGCAAATTGCGCGCTCCCTCCGTGTCGATCTCCCTCACGACGCTCCTTCCAAGATCCAGAGCTGCCTCCGAATCTTCGCCGAGCACTTCCGCTGCGGTCGCCAGGAGGACGCGCACGAGTTCCTCCGTTACGTCATCGACGCCTGCCACAACACCTGCCTCCGCCTCAAGAAGCTCCGCCGGAAAGATACTGCCATCGGCACCTCTGCCTCTGGTGCTGCCGGTGGCAGTACCGTGGTGAAGGAGATTTTCGGTGGAGCCTTGCAGAGTCAGGTGAAGTGTCTGTGTTGTGGATATGAGTCCAATAAGGTTGATGAGATAATGGATATTAGTCTTGACGTTTTCCATAGTAACTCGCTTAGAGACTCCATGCAAAAGTTTTTTCAGCCTGAGGTTTTAGATGGCAACAATAAGTACAAGTGTGATAAGTGAGTGTGTTCTTCTCCTTTTTGCTTTAAGTGTTTTAAAATATTTGTTTTTGGGTATGCATGGGTTTTATTGAAAGCATGAACTTGCGGGTGTTGTTCAGTTGTAAGAAATTGGTGCCGGCTAAGAAGCAGATGTCCATACTCCAAGCACCTAATGTACTTGTTATACAACTCAAGGTTGGTTATGTTTCTTGTTCTTTGTGTTGGTTGATTGGATTAGTGGCGACTCCGGTTTTTTGGAATGATTGTGTGCTGCTGAATTTTGGATTTTAGAGATTTGAGGGCATATTGGGTGTCAAGATTGATAAGGCTGTTGCATTTGAAGAGGTTTTGGTGCTCTCTAGCTTCATGGCCAAAGCAAGCCAGGTATGTTTGGTGTTCATTTTGAATTAGTTACTGCAAAAGTTTGTGTTTGTGTTTGATTTTGGGCATGGAGGCGCACCCTTACATTTGATGCTAAATTGTTTTTTGATAAGCACTCATGATTGATTCTAGAGTTTCCTGTCACTCAAATTTACTATTATTATTATTTATTAATAAGAAAAAATATTAAGAAAGAAGAGAGGTACAAAGTGAGGAGGATAAGATATCCCCCACAAGAAAACTAAAGAAAGAGAAAATTACAACCAAACCGAAGAAATGGAACAAGATTAAAAATGCACAATGGTTGGCTTGGCAGCCCACTGTTATTTGTTTTTAATGTATGCATGATGGTTAGCTTGTACAGAAGCCTATCAAATGAGATGATTGTGCTCTTTTTGTTCTTGGGAGATGAAAAATAAAAACAATTTTTGATACCATATAGGATTGGCGTTGCATTTTGAGGTCAAATGGGAAATACCTTTGGGTACATTGTGGTTTCATACTTTATTATTGCGTGAGATTGGTTTCTGTTAGGTGGTTGATAAGGGAAACAGCTGTAATAACTGAATATTTAGTTGGAAGAAGCTTTTAGTTGTAATATGACAGCTGGACTGTTAGTTAAAAGGGGGTTTGTAGGGTATAACTAGAAATTGATGGAAGACTGCATTTAGTTTTTGGTTGTTGAGAGAAATTGGAATTGAAAGAACCAGGTTTCTCAAATACTTGGAGTCTGGAGAGATAGAGAGAATCCTACTTTTGTATCATTCTCGTTCTTTGTTCTGTATCTCATTGATACTAATCAGCTATGTAGCACCAACACGACACGTGACATGACATGATATGACACTCCGACACTTCAATTCTAAAAAAATATAGATTTCGACACGTTGGGACCCGTTTTAATATTAAATAATATTTTTAATTTATATAGTGTATATTTCATTTAATATTCAATATTCTAAGTATTTAACAAAAAAATGAAATTAAACTAATAATACTCATCAATTTAACCAAAAAAATTCAAAGAAAATAAATCATTTCCATAAGATTCAATAAACCATTCAATTAGACAAACTCTTAAAATATGACAAAAAATAAAATAAAATAAAGACACCAGATCATTCCACTGTAGTAATGAAGTTTAGTCTTTTTGCATCAAATGAAAGTTATTTAAGAATAAACTCACACAATACTTATTAAAAGAGAGAAGAAGTTGTGTGTTTTTCTGGGAATACATTTTCCTCTCTCATCGAAAATTTGCCATCCGTTGATTGAACCGAATTTATGGGGTCCTCGTTTGATCTAACGGTCAACGACACACCAACCCTTTTCCCTTTGATAACAAAAATTAAAACTTTTTGGCCTTCCAGTGTTTATCTCTGCCCGAGTTCGATTCCTTTGTTTGGTTTGACGGACACATAAAGGGAGAGAGCCAAAAGGGAAGATGAGGGTTGTCAAGTCTCAGGGGTGGCAACCATGCAAGAAGAAGAGACTTGGATTTTAGAGACAGAAATTCTATTATTTTAGAGAGAGAGAAAGAGAAGGACTTTGAAAAGAGAAGAAGTCATGTTCGGGGCAAGGTGGTGGTGGCAGCTCGAGGAACCGTGTGGGCAATTTTGCGAAGGTGGTGGTGGCAGCTCGAGGAACCGTGTGGACTATTTTGCGAAGGTGAAGTTTGCTCTCTCTTATCAAGCAGGAAGAGCAAAGCGAACGACGGCAGATGAAGAAGAAGCAATGAGCATGAAGCACCACAGACCACGAAGGCAGTGAGAAGTGATGGCAGAGCTAAGCGTAGATCGCGTGAAAAAGAATGAGAGATAAGTTAGAAATGTTTAGGGTTTAGTTTTTATTAAATGCTATTTTTTTTTTTAAATTTTAATTTTATTAATATTTTTTAATTTTTTTAAAATATATTTAAAAAATATATATATATATATATATTTTTCGAAAATGCCATTTGACCGTGTCCGACACCGTCAAATTCGCATGTCGAAATGGTCAACGTGTCGGGAATGTTGTCTGCATGTCGGACATCGTGTCGGACACAACACTCCTTGTTTTTTAGCGTGTCCGTACTTCCTAGCTGTTGAGAGTTTTTTTCTGTAATAAAGATCATTGTTCAACCAATTTTTGATCCAGTTCTAAAAGGGTAGAAAAGAGGCATTAAGAGGGGCTGAATCCAGCCATGGGCAATGGAGAAGAGGGCTGAACTGAGATCGGAAAGGCACTGCCGAGAGCGAGAGACCTTCGATTAGTGACTGAAACCAGGATATGGTAGCAGATTTGGGTAGAGAACAAGGTGTTGAGCACAACACAGACAAGTTGTGGCCAGAAAGACAGCCGGATTCGCTGCCATATGCAGCTAGGAGCTGCAGCGCATGGTCAAGGAGCAGAAAGACATCATTGGCACGTTGGAGCACGTGACGTTGCAGATGGAGGTGGGACCGTTGGGGTTCGACCTGGTTGCCCGAGATGAAGCAGATCAAGGGGTCACTGGTCAGAAAGGACATTGGTTGGCAGCTGATGGTGACTGTAACATGGAATGATGATGGAGAAGTTGTTCGGGTGCCGGAAGGAGGACAAATCACAGGAAAATGGAGTTGAAATGTTATTTTTGGGGAAAAAAAATGTTCACCAATGGGCAATGGATCCACTAGGTAGGCAAGGATAAGGGTTGCTTCTCATCAGGCTCCTAGATATCATGTTGGGATAAGAGGAAAGAAGGGACATTTAGTGAAACCTGTGTATTAGGCTACACAGCAGAGACTGAATTATACATGTGAAAAACAATAATTACAAAAATACTAGATACCCTAATTTCTTTTAATACATGATTTGGTGAGCTTATACAGTGAATCGAAACATTACTAATACAATGAATCTAGAGACTATTTACATTATCAACTGGGGCAATCTATAGTTATATAGATGGCAATTAGTTTTGCTTTTAGGTTCGTGTGCCTTGCAAAATTGGTATATGAGGCTGATTTACTGGCTGGCAGATAAAATGAAATTGTGATAAATACTGATTCCATCCAATCTATGGAAAGGTCCAAAGCTGGTCATGCTGTTATGGTTACAGTAGTTACACATCATCTTTTTAGACAATCACATGCTCTGAATTTAAGCATATTGTATTCTATCTATCGGAATTTGATTATGGACCTCATATTAGAAGACAAGATATATACAAGTGTATTGATACACCTGTTGGATATTAGTATAGTCCCCAAGGGTTTCGTATTTGACCCTTCTGGATATTATATGATGTTGAGGGTTGGTTGTCCAGTCAATGCTGAAATTCTGAGCTAGAATTCTAGGGACCCTGCCTTTGTTCTTTTGCTGTTAGACATGGACAACTTGTGTAGACATGGAAAACCTGTTAGACAAGGTGAATGTTTCAGGGGAGGAGTATTGTTAGGAGTGGGATGAGGGAAACAGCTGTAATAACTGAAGAGGTAGTTAGTCAGTTGTAATATGATTGCTGGAGTGCTAGTTAGGAAAACCTTTTACAGAATGGGAAGGAAGAGAAGGTTTATAAGGTATAACTAGGAATAAAGGGAAAATTGGAATTAGCTTTTGGTTCTTGAGAGAAATTGGGAGGGAGAGAATCAGGTCTCTTGAATACCAGGAGAGATAGAGAGAGAATCCTACTTTTCTATCATTCTTGATATCTGCTCTGTATTTCATTGATACTGATCAGAGTGTTCTTTTGTAATAAAGGTTTGTTACCTATTTTTCATCCAGTTCCATCAGTTTCCTCAACATCTTTAGGTGCTATTGGTGTTTGCTTTATAAGTCTGTCTATGTTGTTTGCTATGAATATAGGGTTTCCTTTAGCAATCTGATGTAATAAGGAGTATAATCCTCTTAAGGGGTTTTGAATAGAATCCTGTAATCATGACTTGGATTGTTGTCAAAGCACGTTGAGTTAAGAAGAGTTAGTAGATACTCTAGTTGTACATCTTGGGTATTGTGTAGAAAATTGTTGTATTGCTATTAAGCTTTGTGGTGGCTTGCTATATTGGAGCAGAATGATCAGGTTTGAAGAAGAAATCTCGCGTTACATCTTCTGTGGGATAGTATCACCGTTATGGCTTGTGGTTGGTAATCATAGACAAACATTTGGACGTATTGAAAAGCACTCTTGTATGAGTAAACCTGTCAAGAGTCATAGTAAAAGATTAATTTTGCAATATACAGCAGTTTGTAATCCATGAGAAGTATGGAAAGCATTAATGATAGAGGTCTGGGACCCATGAAAAATTCTAAATATCCTTTGATCTTAATCAACTTTGATTTTCTCTGTTTAATCCCATTTAATATTCAAATTATGGAATAAAATACAAGGTGAAATTGCTTGAAATGTTTAAGAACTGGGCTATATATATATATATATATATATATATATATATATTGACCTCTTTGATGCACTTGACCGCCAAATATAGAACATGAACTATCCATTATCCATTAAATATACATGCTCATACATACTTTAGGTGATATTTAATTGTAAAAAGAGTGTCTAGGTTGGGACTTCAAACTAATTGGTGAAACTTCATAGAGGCTAACACTGTATATCGATGAACCACTAACAATAAAAAGCATAAATTTCTTGGTGAATGCCAACAAAGTTTCAGTATTTTTCCAATCTAGGCTGACCTTTTGTAAGACTGGTGCTACATGACCCATATTTCTCTAGTCTTTTTTCCCCCCATTCTAATATTTTATCTAGCTTCCTTCCTTTCTAACAGTCATGTTGATGTAGGATCCACAACCAGAATATAAGCTCTTTGGTACTATTGTGCATTCAGGCTACTCCCCCGAATCTGGTCACTATTATTCTTATATAAAGGTTTGTGAATTTATAGTTCATCTGTACACAAACTATAGCCAATACATTCATTCCCAAATATGCCAGAATCTAATTTCCTATTCTGTTCACAGGATGCAATGGGCAGGTGGTATTGCTGTGATGATTCTTGTGTGACAGTTGCAACCTTGCAAGAAGTTTTGTCAGAAAAGGTTTATATTCTTTTTTTCTCTCGAACTAACCAAAGGCCAGTTCCAAATGGTAATTCTCGTGCTTCAAATGGTGTAAAGCCTCATCATTCCAATGGGAGTGAGGCATCTGAATGCCCAAAGGTTGATGTACCCCCGAAAACAGTGCATGCAAAATCAAATTCTGAGCAATCTGCTTGGAAGGATATGCCGTGTGTATCTAAGATTGGTAAAGTGCCTTCGAGTTCACGAGTGAAGTTTGATATTAATGGAAGTTCTACTTCCAAAAGAATTCCTGCTCCTGCAAGTGTCAATGGGAAAGTTGATATTTCTAAGAATCAGTCCTTAGCAATAAATGGGTATGTTAAAGACTCAGTTTCTTTGGAAAATGGTAAGAAAGAACCTTCATCATTACCCACTGAGAATGGCTTTCACAAAACTAAAGTTGCCGTTGCTGACAACTCAAAAAGAAAGGAGTCATCGTTAACAAATGGATACTCTGATATTCAGACAGTTGATATGCATTCTGTGAAATCAGATCCTCCGGAAGATACTGATAGAAGCAGGGTAATAACAGGTAGAGGGCCTGACAACTTTAAGCAAGAAAGCAATGGCATCAACAGCCAACCTAAATTATTGGGAAATAAGAGAAAGATACGGGAGGTTCCATGCATTTTGCTTGCCCAAGATGGTCAGTCTCGAGCAAGAGTTCAAGAAATGAAGGACGAGTATGACATAATGAAACTCATCTTTTTTTTTTTTTAAAAAAATTTTTCTTACTAATTTTAGTTTAATAATATGTTAAATAAAGATTTTTTTTTACTGATGCCTTAGCATGCATTTTTTTTTCCTGGTATACATTGATATGTTTTGTCTCATACTTTTGAATGTGTTTTTTATTGCTGAGATTCAGACTTTGGTAGCTGGGGTTTGGACTGTCAAAGTTAGTTAATGTTTGACATTGTTTTGTTAAAGTCTTAATTCTGTTGAGGCTTTGATATTTGTTGTTTTTATTGTTTCGATAACCTTATTGGTGGGGAAGGGGATACAAGAATCGGATACATGTCTTTTGGCATCCCAGTCACTTAGCCATTCCCATCTGAAGGAAACATTGTGCAATCAATAATGTTAGTGGATGCTCCACAATAACTTTTATTTCCGTCATTTCATTATTTATTTATTTCTTCCTTTCAATACCTCACATGTTAAAATATGTTGATGATATATCTTTTCAGGATATTTTAGTCTTGTTGATTCATGCTGTGCTTAAATCATGCTTGTTACCTTCTTTTTTCATGCCCAAAATTGTATACACACTTGTTCACATTTATGTACTTATTTCCTTTGACAATCAGTTCGACACCTCTACTTGCTAAAATATTCACTATGTGTCTGATTCTGAATTTCTGATGCTGTTTTCTTTCTAAAAATTTCATATGCCTGATTCTGATACTATGTTTTCGAAATATAACTCAGTCTTGGGAAAGAAGCAAAGTCAACTTTGAAGTCGTGTGGCTGGACAGATATGGTCTATGACTTCATGCGTTCTAGAAAGAGGTTACGTGCTCAAGAAGCTGGAAATTTAGCAAGTGGAGATCAAACAAGGTAAGTTTGATGATATTCTACATCGCTTTAAGCATTGAACCCATTGATTTTATATACAAACGTGGCTGTAGCACAATTCTGTGAATATTTTCATGTTCATTATTACTTGTTAAGTATGAAAGAGTTTGATTTCAAACTATGACTATAGATGATAGGAATGAGACTCGAGCAATATCTGATGAGTCCAAGCCCAATTCTGGTTTATCAAAGGAGGACCAATAAGAAAGAGTGAATGACGTGGCAGGAGTCTGTTTTGGGTGGGTGCGTTCCGGAGAGAGAGAGAGTGGAATTTGTTTGTTAGTTGGTTGCTTTATAGCAAGGGGTTTTGGCTTTTGAGGGGGTTATGCAGAATTTACGTTTGGTTTCTACACTTGTAGAAAGGGCTAGGAGAATTTCTCTGTAGTTTTATCGCTGTAATAGTTTCTATTTTCATACATATACAAATTACTCCCTCTTGATCAATAGGAGTTTAATTCCTATCAATAGATGCTAGCTGAAGGGCTGTAGGGTTCTAAAATCAAGCTTATGCATACCAGATGAAACTTTAGAGAAGTGTGATTCACCATTAGATGTTAGAGGAGACAATGGTGTAGGAAACTTATCGATGATTTCATCTATAGTAGTCAGGGCTTCTATTTTGTTATTGAGTTATGAAAAAGTGTAGAGGAAATGGTAAGAGATCACCATTTGGCATTTATTTTTGAATCAATTTTTTGTATTTCAAGGGGTGGGGTGGGGGGTGAGGCTTACAATGATACTGTTGGGAATTTGGCATCTTTGGTAGTTGAGTGATTTTGAATATTGAAGATTGGGTTTGAGCGTCAATTTGCATAAAAATAGTGGGCCAATATTATTCAGTGGCAGGACATTCTCAACCGCTGAACGTTTTAGACTGTTAGCTCTGGAGGCTGTTTGCATGCTCATGTCTATGTGCAATTGTGCATGTCATGTGCTTTGTTTATACTTGTCGAAACAAACAGGTAAAAAAGAATGGTTCCGACATGATATGTCCAAGGCCTTGACCGTAACGTTGTGTATTTAGCTTAGTTTGGTTGTACCTATATGAGTATGTGGGCAGAGGTTTGTCATTCTTTTTCCTTTTTTTTTTTTTTTTAATGATTGCATGTCCATTTATGCTCATCTTTGTGCAGTAATGATTTATAATGTGGCTTTGCCTTGACAACCCAGCTTTTCCAATCACAGTGCTGTATACTAATGGGATATTTAGTCTCAATTCTCAAAAATGGAAGGAGGAAGAAGAATCCAAGAATTGCTGAAATCCTTGTTTGAGTTTTATAAATGGTTTCTTAATAGTGTTTTTTTGTTTTTTTTTTTTGGGTCCGTAGTGTTATTTCTTTAATAATTTAACAAATATGTACTGAAAATTTCCTCAAACATTTCTTAATATATGGACTACGGTGATTGTTATTTGACTCTTACTGGTTATATAATCTTTGGCTTGGATGTGCTCTACATGCAACGCAGGAAGTTGTTAATAGGAGATGCCAAGGAAGCTTTCATATCACAGATTCCCGAATCATTGAGAAAGGATCTGATTGAACGTCTCCGAACATTTAGCCAAGAAAAAGTACAATTTGAAGGACCTTGATCAGAATATGGTATGAGGTGATCTATTATTTTATAAATTTTCCATTCTATAAGCCTTTTATAAGCCTTTAAATCAGTGATTTATGTACTAAAAAAGTTTGTGATTTGATAGTTTTCTATTTTATTTCCAAAATGTTGCAGCTGGTTGATCTGTCTTGCTAGTGAGGCTTGGTGTGTATACTCTGTATTACTAACTATTGTAGAGATGGTGGTACCCGTACTGGAATGCTCAGTTTGGGTTTGTTACCAACTGACTCTTTGAGCTAGTGCTGGCAATAGCAGTAGGAGAATGTGGAGACTGTTATCTTTCAAGCCCTCCCAACAGTGGCTTTGTTTTGCTTCTACTTGCTTCATGCATATTTGATATGGAAGTTCAGATTTCATGTCTTGGCATAAGTTTTCTTTCTCCATGGAGGCTATACAGTTCTATTGAATCTTGCGGTGAGCGTGTCAGGAATTCTATTCATTTTGTACAATATCTCTTTAGTCATGTATTGGAGCAAAATCTTCCTTTTTATATAAAATTGCTCAACAAATTTTGAATCGAAGATGAGGCTGTCGGCTGTGTATGGCTTATGGATACATGCTCTCAACAATATCACTGCTCTTTCCGGTATAAATTAAGAAATTCATTCACTAAATGCTTCTAGCGCTTGAAAGAGAGCAAGAACACCAATTTTGAAGAGTATATGATTTAATTATGATAGACACATCAGCACCTACATAACGTAGTATTGTATTTGTCATAGTTTTCGAGATAGAAAAATGAAAAATTCTTTACTGTCGACAGAAGTTGCAAATATGTTCGTAGACAAAATGACATTTGGTTCCAGTTCTTAAAATACGTCAAATATTTTCATTGCACTTTTTTACTTATAAAATATGACTTTCATTTGCGGAGTTTTTGTCGAAGTGGGAAAAACTAAATTACCAAAAAATATTTAAAATTTGTTTTCTGAAATGGTATAGTTTTGTACATGCGGGTATGTGAGTACAATACATTATTGCACGTGGTACCTCGAATGGCGTCACGTGATAATGTCTCTTCTTTTTTAAGAAAATTTACTAGTGTCATGTGGCAATTTCTAAGAGAGACATTGGACCGTGTGGCTCTTCATCGTCCCCTCTCCCAAATTCTTTTCCTTTTTTTTTGGTAAATTTTTCTTTTCCTCTTTATATAAACCTGTTCTTCCTTCTTCACCCTTACCCTCACTCTGATCATGAGTTTCATCCTTTTCATTCCCTTTCATTGCTTTGGTACTTTTAACACCTAGTTCAATAACCGTTTCTTTATATTTTATTTTCGTTATATTCATGGTTAATTATTTATATTATTTATTATCAATTTTTGTTTTGATAATTATGTCCTTTGTTATTATTTTCTTATTAATACTAAATTTAGTTTTGTCATTTATTATTTAGTAATATTTTTATGTGTGAATTTTATTTAGTAATGTATATTAATAATATATTATAGAAATTAGACATGGCATCTAGTTTGTCATCTAGTGTGTGATCTATTGATCTAGGTCTAGTGGATGTGGATGAATCAGTGTTCAACACTGTTGACGATGCAAGAAGTCCGCATGTTGCAATGCATGTTAATTGGAGAGCCCAACATAATGATTACCATTACATAAACACAAACGCAATGTATGTATTGATCATTATGCAATGGTTTCTTAGTTATTAACATCAGTTTAATACATTTGATCATTTATAGGTGTGAGCTTCGTTGGTTGCACCAAGGTATAGACTGGAACATTAGCGGTATAAACTTGACATTAGGTAAGATTATCTTGTATCATTAAAATAATTAATGTTGATTTACTAGTTGTTATTAGTAATGTTATACCTATGTTGTATTGTGCATAAACTAAGTAGAAGCTGTCGACACTTGCCATTCTGCAAGGTCATCATATATGGAAGTCTATTTTACGTATGAGATTTTATAACCATATCATTTGTAAATTCTTGGATGAGCGGAATTATAATTTGCTAGAGAGATATAATATAAAATTATTGAAGACCCGTCACTTATCAATTTGAATTTTTAGGTGAGATGGTTGCTTATTATGATATCAGAGTCAAGGTGACCACAAGGTCACAAACTCAATTCTCACTTTGGAGTTATAATATCATATAGGATGAAAATAAAGACCTCTTCTTATGATAACAATATGGATCAACTTACTTCTCATAGAGATGTTTTATAACTATTTTGACATAGGATTAATCCTTTTACTAAATATGTGCTTATACACTAGTCCACATAGAGAAAAAAAAATACAATAATCTTGTACTTGGATACCAAAGGCACTTAGTTTAAACAAAACAATACCATGGATTAATATGGTCACAAGAATGTCAACAACGAACAAACACTTATGATTAAGACGAATGAAGTACGCACTATAAGACACTAAACAACACCAAGCTAAGTAGCATATAAGAAACCCCAACCCAACAAAGAACAAAACACATTGGAATAAATACTAGAGAGCACAAATCTTCAAGTAGAAATATAACTTGTGTGGTTGTTGAGGCTAAACATTAGGCTTGCGAAGAAGCACAACTGAGTTGATCACATCATTTGTTGGATGAAAGATGGTAAGCACCTCAAAATCCAGCAAGTCATGCTCCTCAACAATAGGGTACAAGAAAGCTCTAGCACCTTTAGCACTTCTCACAAGCAAAACACCACCCTCCTTCATGTACTTTCTTATGTGTCCCATAATCTTTACTTTTTCTTCTCTGCTCATACCCACAAGTGCTGCCAAAAATATGCAATCATATTGCCCCAACCTCTCTCTCAGTTCCATAATGTCATATGTCTCAAACTTCATTCTCTTCTCAAGTGCTGCATCTGAAGCAACAATCTTGCGAGCAGCCTCATTTGCCTTCTCATCAATATCAAAGTTATCAAAATGGGTAGATTCCATGTGATGAATGGCCATTATAATTGAAGTGAGTGGCATTGGACCAGACCCCACAAATGCTACCTTCTTTGCATTCACCACTCCATTTTCTTTCAAGATTTTGTTCTCCAAGTTTGCTAGTTTGACATAGTTGCCATAGTAAGGGAAGAGAGTTAGATTGTTCAATGGCTTGGGTGTGTGGCTTATGAAAGTGGAGAATTCAAGCTCTAAAAGCCCTTCAGCACGACCACATAGGCTAATGAGACTCTCACGTATGTTCTTGACCTCTTGGGGCAAGGCCTCAATGTCAATGGATGAAGGGAGGGTGCAGAGTTTCACTAAGTGAGTGAAAAGGCTATTGACTTGCTTAGAAGGCCTAAGAGATTCTAGCTTAGAGATGCTTGCATGAAGTTGCATGAACTGAGCTATCAGAACCTCTGATGGAATTTGAGTTTCAAAGTTGAAGTTTTGGAAAGAAGCCATTGGTTGAAGTGAATTGAGTAGAAAGTGTAATAGGCAAAACAGAACTAAACAAGAATACTAGTTTTGCTATTTGACTTGTGGAAAAAGCAGAGAAGCGTTCAACTATTTATAGTTGCATGTGCTTAGACTTGAAAATTATAATCATTGGCAATCTGAAATCTATATTGGTCAAATGAAAAGTGGTGTTCCATGCCTTAAAGATTAATAACATAATCTTTAATGCGTCACCCGCATAAAGCTCTTGGAAGTTACATTTCATACTAATAATAAAAATTGATGGAAATGAACAGAAATGGCATCTCAAGTTTAATAAGGTTCATTTCACACACTGTGTTGAGAATGTAGAAGCATAATTTAGTAATGCGATATGTTCACACTAAACCGCAAAAGAATATTGGGATTGAAGTCCCGTTGTGGCATGGAGCATGCTAGTCAACAGTACAAGAAAGATCTTTCAAAAGATTTTTAAATCAAGAGATAAAGAAACGACAGAAAAAATAAAAATAAAAAAGTTCTTTCATGACATGCACTTGCTAATATTAATAAGAGTTGACAAATACTGTGGCGCATCGTTTGGATTGGGTTGGGATTAGGCTGTTGAAGCTTTCAATGGTCCGTACGTTATAATGTGGGGCTATGCCTATGGGGTAGAGCTCTTACATTTTTTCTTTCTTTTTTCATACATATTTTAGATAATATTTTTTTTAAAAAGTTCTAATCAGTTAAATCTTAATTAGTAGTTATTTTAATTATAAAAATATGTTAATCTACACACACTTAATCTTTTTTATTATTAAACTTTTATGGTAACTTATTTTTTTTGAGAATAGTAACTTAAATTTTGAATTGCAGTATTGTATTATAAAACTTAGATAAATTTCAAGTAGCTGTAGTGTTGTTCTCTCATAAAATTGTATGACACGTGTAATTTTTTAGTTACCTCATGCTCTTTTTCAAAGTTTTCATAGTTAAAATATTAATATTAATATATGTATGCATAAACAGAATAAAAAGCATTTGCAGTTTTGCACGATTCTCCTTTGTTTATAAGTCTATTTTGCAATTCTCCAAGTTCAACAGTTCTCTTTTATTATTTTTCTCAATATAAAAATGTTTAACTAATTGTTAATGGAGGATTATAACAATTATTATCTATTTCAATGCGCCGAGGAAAACTGTTTGCTTGGAAAAGGGGTAATTTGATAATTGTGCTAGCTAGATTTTATTTTATTTATTTATTTTTGAAAAACGGGACGACACGCGCAATCTATATGTTTTTGAAAAGATTTATTCAGCTTTATTCAATAGTAATAAACTCGCATTTATTAAATAAAGACAAAGTCAAATATAATAATTAACCAATAATAAAAGACCAATCAACAATTGAAATATCATATACATGTAATAAACCCTGGCCATGGGTTCAACAATTGAAATATCAAAAGTAATGTACAAAAAAAAAATATATATCAAAAGTAAAAGATCAATCAACAATTGAAATATCAATAGTAATAAATCCCCATTGCTAGCATTCATGGTCGATATGGTAGTTGTTGGAGGACAACGCCATAATGATCCAGGTTCAAATGCTGGTAGAGTCAAAAAAAATAATAATAATAAAAAACCATGGCGAAATCAAATTTTTGAAAAATTTTAGGGGTAAGAGAATGTGTTTCTCTATTTTAGAGGAGATTAATTTCATCCTTTTTTCGGGGGCAAAACCCAATGTACCCGTCATTCCAATGAAAAAGTAGTCTTTGGGGTCGTACTCCAAAGTTAAGGTGACCGAAGAAAATTGAATGAGAATACCTCTAAGTTCATACCAAAACATAATAGTTATATATACATGTATATATCATTTGATTCAGTTTACAATACAACTTTACACCATTTGGCTAGCTCCAAAATTTCGAATCAAATCATACAATAAATTTTTTTTTTAAGAAATGTTTTAATTTATGATACAAGTTTTTCTCCTATAATATGAGATAAAATTATCTTCAATAATTTTAAAACAACATCGTTTTGAGATTTAAGAAAAAAAATACAAGATATTTTAATAATTTTCCTTTCCTTGTGTATTGTGTATTTTATTAAAATATTCTATATTTTTTTACCAAATTTCAAATTGACGTTATTTTGGTATTACAAGAGATAATTTTATCTCCTGCTATAGAAGAAACATTAATTCCTTAATTTATTTGTATTGTGGTATGAGCATAAAGTGATTTGAAAACTCTTAGGAGGATTCCTTACTAGCGTTGTTTCTATCTACTATTATTTAAAAATAATCAAAAGAATAAATACCATTTTCGGTCCTCAACAAATTTTACTATGCTCGTTTTAGTCCCTAGCAAATAAAAAGACTATTCGTAGTCCTTAAGAAATTCAAAGTGAACTCGTTTTAGTCCTTTTGAGGGACTAATATGGATCTTTTTTGAATTTGTGAGGGATCACGATTTCAACTAAATGGATCCATTTTGAATTTCTTAGGAATAATCTTTTTATTTGTTAGGGACTAAAGAGGGCATCGTGAAATTTGCTGAGGACCAAAAATGATATGTACTCTAATCAAAACCAAGAAATAACTCCTCACGTGCAAAATTATAGGATCATATTTGCATTTGAATTATAAGATGACGTTACTATTTGCATTTATGTTTAGATTTGAATCATCAGGTTACTATTTGCATTTATAAAAAAAATTTGGAAAAGAGAAATAATGGAAAATATTGATATCATTGATTAGTTGATAAATTGTACACAATTGGAGCCCTTATATAGATAAGCAAATAGAAGATTCTAGAATATCACAATAATGCAAATAGTAATATGATGATTCGAATTAAACTTAAATGCAAACAGTGACCTCATGATTCAAATCTAAACATAAATACGAATAGTAACATCATCCTATAATTCAAATGCAAATATGATCCTATCCTAATACTTCCCATCAAGTTGGAGAAACATAAATGCAAATAGTAACGTCATCCTATAATTCAAATGCAAATATGATCATATCCTAACACTCTCCCTCAAGTTGTAGCATGAAGACATGAAGTGCCCAACTTGCTAAGTAGGAAATGAAACGGTTCTTGCCAAGTGCCTTCGTAAAAATATTGGCCAACTGGAATTCACTACGAATATGAGAACAAGCAATATTTTTAGCAAAAAACATGTGTTGAAAATGTCCCAAATGGCAAACCAAAGGAAAGCTTGAATGAGCTTCAATGGTGGTCAGGAACAGAGACCCCACGACGGACGGTGGCAGCAACAAACGAAGACAAGTCGTGACGGGCAGTGACAGACCTAGGAATTATTATGACGGGGGGCGAAAAAATTATATTAACTCGTCTATTCAATAACCATTGACATTCCAGTTCATTTTGGCCAATGTTTCAACATTAAACCAGAATTCAATTAGCTATTAAATTTGTTGTTGAATTGCAAATAAACTGAATAATAATCAAATCGATTCACAATCCGACCACAAAAGCCGGTCTAGTTTAGTTTTTAAAATATTTTTCCACTTTGCCCACCTAATTCTAATTGAATAGCATTTTCCTTGAACAATACAACATTTAGATTTTCGTTTCTCTCCACAAGCTAAATCTAAATTCTAGCCTCGTAACTCCCTTACATGTCAAAGGAAGAAAAGTGTTTTCTATAGTGTTGAGAGTTTTTTGATCAATTTCAGTGGTACAACCAATTTTGGTAAAGAATAATCCAATTCTTTTGCAGATTCTACATCACTTTCGACACTTAGATTCTTATGCATTTCACTGTCTTTAGGTTCTATCATGCAGAGCCTTCATCCAAATTGAAGAGTTAGAACTGTTAGAAATTTTTATAATAATTGTGGGCTTCAACCAATTATAGTTTTTTTTTTGTTTTAATAAAAAACGGGCTAAGTCATGATCCATATAGGAGTGCAGTATAAAGTCCAGTTAATTAGTGATCCTTTTGATTGGGTTTGGATATCTGTAAACTGATTAGTGTGGATAACAAGGTAGACCTAACCCATAAGCCCATGATGAGAAGGGGACTAGGGTTAATAAGTTTGGCTAGGTTCCCTCTGCATTCACAACGTGTTAAAAAATCGTCACTCTACAACTCGCCTCATCGACGGTTGTGATAAGGAAGTGGTGTGAATTGCAGAGGAAGATCTTGATTTTTCCATTGCAGGAGCATCAGAGTAAACAAGAAGCCCTCAAGAAATCAAGAATCATGTCTTCAACAAGTAAGTCTGAATCTTTTGGTGTTCTAATTTTATATAATCATATTTTGAAATTTCTTACATTTGATATCAAAGCCTAGATTATATGAATTAGGACCCAATTGTTTGTTATTAGATATGATTATATGTTTTGGGATTAAATTTTGTGCCTTTTTATTCTTAAATGAGACGATTAGTATTTTTTTTAACAACTCAGAATCTAATTTCATACTATTTGTATTTGGTTTGATTTCCTAAATCAATTGACTTTTTTGTTTTGATTGAAATTTGTATTTAGTGCACCACTAGGGATAGCCTAGTGGTGTTGCGTGTATTTAGAGTGTCTTAGGTATGCGGTTCGATTTCTATGTAACATAAAAAAAAAAAAAAAAAAAATTTGTATTTAGTGTTAGCTCTAAAACCCTATCGTCGATTTCCCCAATTTTTTCTCTTGACCTTAGTGCCTGCCGTTTTTAGTTTCGGCTTTCAAATCATTAGGCACGACAACTTTTTTTTTTTTTTTTTTTTTTTTAGAAAAAAGCCTTGACACGGCAACATAGTTTTAACTTTAACTTATCAAGCACAAGAAAAAAAAGGAATCTTCCAATAGAATATGTAGATATTTCCATATGCATTGACACTGAGGTTTTAGAAGTAGATTTATTTATTTAAGTACAGAAAAAAAAGATTTAATTCGTTTGAAGCGTGAATATGTCGAGTAGAATTCACAGTGGTTGGCTTTTGTTTTTACCTGTTTTTTGTACTTTTCTTGAATCCATGTGTTTGGAATTGGCAT